TCTCCATCGCTGTCCTCAGACAGATCAAACGTGACTCCCTTGGCCGTCTTGGTTTTATACGAGCCAAACTGCTCTTCATCGCTCTCATCAAACGCGCCGTCGCTGTCGATATCCTCGTCGTCTGAAGAGTCGATTTCGTCAACCTCGTAGTCACGCACATCAACACGCTCCAGCTGCCGCCGGTTTGTCAGCTGCTCTGCCTCAGAGTTGTCGGAGGCTTCGAAGACGTCGTATGATGATTGCGGTAGGTCTGATTTCTTGCCCTTCGTGCTAGGCTTGGTCTGCTTTTTGTGTGGATGCTACACGCCTGTTCATGGCCTTCCGTTGTCCACCCATTTTGCGAAGTTTTATGTAAAAATGCAGGCTACAGATACAAAGTTGAACTTTTTGCCAATATCTGAAAAAATCGCATATTCAGCAAAAAAAAAATCGTAATCTGATCAATTGCGATCACCAGCAGATCTATATTTTGGAACTGCTCCAATGCAACCCTGGCATTTGAAGAAAACCCATTGCAACTCCGGTTGCCGACGAGGACGGTAGCCGCCTATATTCTATACAGCAGATGAAGGCTGTTAAGGTGTAAAAAGCTGATGATTTTTCAACAACGGCACTGTCTGAAGTGGCCATTTTATAGCCACTTCAAAAGGGTGCCATAGAAACAATGAACTAGAAAGGAGAAAGAGGGTCTTCGCGGACAGGAGATTAATCGTCATGACACCTACAGGGAATTGTAGAAGCAGGTACTAGTAATTGACGATATCTCCTGATCTGGAATGAGGAATATGTCAATCATGTAACGTCGATGGGGAAACTGGTTTTCGACACCACACGCATAGCAGAGGCAGAGCTTTCCAAGCACTGCTGCCGGACCCTTAGCCCAGCAAAATTCCGTGCCTACGTTGCTGCCCGTGCATCTGTGCGGTGTGTCCTAGCACCGTTTTATGCCAACACGATGACAGCGCGAAGGTTACCAGAGCAGCAGCCCACTAAGTCAAACAAGCAGCACCAGAGGCGCTGGAAGGCCCATCCGGGTGTCGGGACCAGTCCCAAGGTGTACCCGCTTCACCGCAAGCTGCGCCTTGATTCATTCATGAACCAGGCCCGTGCAGACCACAGGCTTGCCGCAAACTCCGGAGCAAGTTCGGTCCAGACCCAGTGCTGATCATGGGCAATTGGAGTGCGCCGATGGCCCACACCATGCGCCGATTCGTGGCAAGGGATGGCGCGACAAGTTCAAGCACCATGGCTTTGAAGTCTATCTGATCGACGAATTCCGGACATCGTCGATGTGCCCGTTCTGCTGCGAAAAGTCGCTGCAGACATTCCGGCATGTTCCCAATCCGCGGCCCTACCAGAGATCGAAGAACCCAACTGTGAAGTGCCATGGCCTTCTCCGCTGTACAAGCGAGTCATGTAAGCGGGCCATGGCACAATACAGGCGAGCCTATTCGTCTCGGCTCTTGAACCGCGATCTCGCAGCAGTTCTAAACTTCAGGCTCATTTTCCAGTCACTCTGTGATTCAGGCAGTATTCCTGAACGGTTCCGTCGCTTTACGGCCATTGCTGCCGATGCTTCTGGCACCACCCCTGCAACAAAGAACCTGCGCAAGAGGCGTGCAGCAGCGAACCAGCGCTGAAACGCCTGCGCTGAGCAGGCCACCAAGGTGGGAGATGTCCATGATCGACATTGCACCAACAACCATCCGACACGTTCAAATGACCGGTTCGCCGTGATGCTCTTATCGACGTGTCAACCCATGCTGACTAGCAACCGAGCTCGCATCGCGAGCAGAGCAATTCCAGTACTACCATGATTCGATTGCTGAGAGTTGTGGTTGTGAACTACCCCTCCCTCAGGCTCAATACCTGGCTGTGACGTCAATAGCGTCGCACCTGGCATTACGCAAACGGTTCAAAAAATATGGAGCTGCTTCATATTATCGCTAGGCTTACCTAATCGCATCAGCATCAACCACATGCACAAACACACTAGGTCCAGTACCAGCCGACAGTCATGGTGGCAACTGCTCAGGTTCTATTGTATTCAAACAGCTGTTTTATTGCCCATCTTGCAAATGGAAATTTATTGAAGCCATGAAATTTCCGCGCTGCTTAGAGGTTCAGCTTGGTGCGGCGCCAGTGACGACGCTTGGCGTTGTAGCTACAAAAATGAAACCAGGGGGTGTACAGAATCAGCAAAGGTGTGTGACGCAGGCGCGTGGCTGTTCACGCTCAAACCCTCAGTATCTCCCAAGCACTTACCGGATGGTGGTGTCCGACTTGAAGCGGAACCAGGTGGGGATGGGCCGGTTCTGCTTGGCCTTCTTTCCCAGCTTGCGCTTGATGTTGAACGTCTTCTGCGAGGGCTACAGAGGGGAGCAGAAGGAAAAGACAATGCATTTGCAATTAGTGCCCGCTCTGAGCTCTGTCTGATCGCTAATGGTACTGGCCAGTCGTCCAGCACAGCCAGTCGTTGGCACAGCACTGAATTTGGACCCGCCGGCATTCATGAGAACATGAATTTCCACAGGAGGCATTAACCACTCTGCGGTGTTTCGCAGCTTCTTCGCATTAAGCTCATTCTCAGATTCCAGGAATTCCGGCCAGTCCAGCATAGTCATCGGCACCAGAAAATATCTCTGCACATCCATCATATCCGGAGCCTCCTCGCAAAGATTTCCCAGGTTGCATCCAACGTAGCGAGTTTCATACCATTTTTGATAAAACGAACTAGAGTTGTTTTGAAAAGAAGGAAATCTACCGTCTCAGCAGTGGATGCGCCTTCGCAAAAGCAGCAAAGACGCGCGTGAGCGGGCGAGCCACATTTCAGCGGGTAATTCGATCAGCATCTAGTGATCACTGATTTTAGCTGCAATCGGATCACCAGATCGCTAGCGCGCCAGGATTCTGGTACTGCGCACTGCAGATGTAAACTGTGTCAGGTGCCACTTGAGCGAATAGAGGCATAGCTCCACAAATCGACTGGGATGATTGCTTGTGGACTACCAAGCACGAGAAGCAGACATTGCATTAATAACAGCGCAGCCCCCATTTCAGAAGCTCATCCCTAGTGAAACGTGCTCTCCAGTGTGTTGTCCTTTGGCGAGTCCAGTAGTTATGAGCTTTATGGAATGAATATATTTAGATATTGCTGAGGAGAAAAAGTGAGGATAGGGCCGTTCCAGTCCACAATGTTTATACGTGAGGGTTTGGACCTGTACATGGTGGTGAAGGGCATGGAGTTGCCTGAATGGCAATACAATGTGTTGTGAGATGGAGTGCACTAGGTAACAGCAGGAGATAATACGGTGCTGTAGCTGTAAAAGCAGAAATGAGAATGGCAATATATTACAAAGATGTATTTCCCTGGGCATATCGGTGGAGGCAATTGTGTTAACAGTGAATACAGCTGTTGTGTCTCGGATACGATACACTTAGATAGGCAGCCTCCTGCAACTGTCTGGAATACGTCTACTCTCCAGGCACCTTTCCACGACGTATATTGAACGTATGAAATATGCTATATGAAAGAAGGAAGGAGGAATCGCCAGGTGAAAAGGGCGAGTGCCCGTCTAAGTAGTGGTGCCAGTCGCTTGGAATAGTATGGATGGCCATTGTGGTCTAAAGGACTTGATCCGTGGGTTCCTGAAATCATGTGGATTTGGAACCACAATAACTATTGCATATGCGGATAGCGCATTAGGACATTTCTTGTGGTGTTTGCGACCGTAGCCGTCTGCAGAGAAATATTGGCCAAACGGGAGTGGTGGTTATTGTATCTGCGTATAAGCAACGCGTGGAGTAAGTGGCAATGAGCGCCAAGAGTGAGAGTATTGCATACAGAGTGCCTTAGTGCCCAATCTTGAAATACCGCATTAGCTTTACCTAGGCATTTGGAGTCTGCCTAGATATTAATTAACATTTAAAGCAAGTCAACGGAGGGCCATATACATCTACATGGAAATATATGTGCGCACTGCATCACATGTGGCACACTCTGGTATAGTCTACGCGCCACCATGGGCAGCAGCGCTTCTGCCTGCCATAAGGGCCGAACAAGCAAATCACTCAGCCACACTTTTCAGATGTGCACGGGCATTTGTCAGAAATGACTGTTCATCTCATTATTTAATCGCAAATGACAAGCAAGCCAACTCCTGACAGAAACAGCAGACGCCGACCACGCCCGGGATGTGGTAGAAACAGCGTTTCGATGCCTTTGCATGCGCGCAGATACAAATATCGACGGCTTGCTGGAAATATCGTCGGTGGCATTGCACCAGCGGTGGGATTTCCTTGGACCAGTGAGCAGCGCCATTCAAGAGCTCAACGACGAGTTTTTTCGCCCAGGTTGACCCGGGCACTCCAGTGGCAGGATGATGGAACGGGCAGATACATTCGAAATGTTCTTGCTGATCGGCTGAAGGAGAGCGCTGGGATCCCGAGCTTCTTGTCGCCCAGCAACGTTGCATACATGCGCAAGGACCCAGATACTATCCATGCGATTATTCCGTTTTGCAAAAGTTTCGATGGACAATGCGTCAGAGATGACATACGTTGCTATTTTGTCGTGGGAGGATGGGGAGATGGACATACTTTAATACCTGCGAATTTGGGAGCGGCTCGCATGAGCTTGCAGAGTTTGCAACTACGGTCTCCGAGGCCGACACCGACTACCTGCAACGAGTGCACGCTCTCACCGAAAAGCCTGCAGGGCGACGAGGATGGCGACTACTGGGACCAGTTCCCGCAGCCAGACAAGCCAGTCGAGAAGAAGCCAAAAAAGCAGGCTGATGCCCAAGCAGCAAGTGGCCAAGGCTCCGAGGACGACTACTGGAACATGTACGACAGCGACGAGAATGATGACGATGAAGAACAGGAGCCAGAGCGCGCAGGCGTGGATCTGGAGCAGACCTCGGGTGGCTCAGATCTGGCCGAGGCTAATGCTCCGCTGCTTGCACGAGTCGCTGCAAGACATGCTGGCTGGCTCGGCAAAGCTGGCCAGAGGAATCGGCATGAGCCAAGGATGAGTTTCTGGCTCTGGCTGCTGCCATGTTCTAGTGGTTGTTGAATATAGTATTGCTTTTGAGGGGTTGTTGAGCTATTCTATGCGGTCCTATTTCTTTGTGGCATCGCCGCTGGTGTCAAGGTGGTGGATGCCGTCGGCGTCCTCGGGGTGCGAGTCGAGCCACTCGATCAGCCCATCCATGCCCATCTCGCCTTGCGGCCGGTTGTGCCCTGCAGGGTGTTGCGGAGCTCGACTGTGCGCCTGGCGACCTCGGGAGACGTTGTGACGCCGCCGTTGGAGTTCATGTCGTCGACAAGCTCGCCGA